TATATATATATATAGGGAGACATTTGTTTGTATATACACCCCGTTTAGAGACACCACGTGGGCGTCCACCAGGTGTATGTACACCTGAAGACTGTCTCTTCAGGTGTACATGCAGATGCTTTTTCTTCTGATTCTTCTGCCTTTGTGTAGTATTAATTAAGTAGCTAATAAAGTGCTTTGGAGTTAATTAATTTAAGCAGTGCATGCGTTTATAAACACTTCAAATGCAAATAGACAAACAAATCTGTCTCCTAGGCGGGAAGGCTGTCACCTGCAGCAGCAACAGGCTGCAGCAGCAGCATAGCTGCAGCAGCAGCATACGCTGCAGCAGTGAAGCTATGCCTTTGAAGAGACAGTTAAGCCCCTGCTACTCCGCTTCCATCTCCCGCTGCAGGCTTGTCCTACTCTGTTCATGCTGCTGCTGCTGCTGCTGTTGCTGCTGTTGTGGCTGCTGCTGTTTCTCTCGCATGCAAAACTTCTGCTGCTACCGTTTGAGCTGCTGCAGTCACCTAACAGTGAGGTGGAGGCCTTTAGCCTCAGCAGCTGCAGCAGTTGCTGCGCTGCTCCTCGGGATTCCGTTGCTGTTGCTGTTGCAGCAGCAGCAGCTGCTGCTGCTGCATTGAGACGAGCTACTCGCCAGCCTAAAAACCGCAGCAGAGTCTCCTTGAAGAGAGATGCATTAGATAATACCCTACGGAGACTGTCTCCGCTGCTGCAGCAAGTAGCACACCGCAGCAGCAAACAGCTTGCCAGTCGATGAAGGCAACCATGAGCAGCAGCAGCAGCAGCAATAGCAGCAGCAGCACCAATAGCAGCAGCAACAGGATCGGCAGGAGCAGCAGCAGCAGCAGCAGCAAGCGCACCAGTCTAGGGTGTAGTGGGAGGGCCCATCCACCTCCAGCACAAGCCGCAGGTCGTGCTGCTCCTCCTGATCCTGTCGCTGCAGCAGCAGCAGCTGCTGCTGCTGCTGTTGCTGCTGCTGCATGGGGGGCAGCCCCAGTATGGCGAAGTCGATTGAAATGCCCTCTGCTGTTCGTGTCTCTGCAGCAAAGGAGACACCCTGCTGCTGCAGCAGCACCGCCACTTGGCGCTGCAGACACAGCAGCAGCAGCAGCAGCAGCACAGAAGCGGAAGCTACAAGATGGTGCTGCAGCCTCTGCAGCAGCAAGAGAGGAGACAGTTCATTACGTGGAGTGGTGTCTCTGTTCAGCAGCACGAAGAACGCGCGGCGCTGTGCATACACCTCATCACCAAATAAAGAGACAAACAGACAAAAAGGAGATAAATAAAAGGAGACAGATAAAAAGGAGACAGATAAAAAGAAGACAAGTGAAAAGGAGACGAATAAATATAAAGCAGCAGCAAACGGCTGAGCAGGGTGCAGCAGCTAGGAGACAGAAGAACAGCAGCAAGAGGAAAAGGAGACAGAGAAAAAATATATAACGGAGAGACAGCTCCGATTCAAGGCAGCTGCGCCGCAATGAAGGAGCAGCAGAAGCAGCGCGAAAGCAGCAGCAGCAGCAGCAGCAGCAAAACACGCAGCGTCAGCAGCAGAGCAACCAGCAGCAGCAGCGGAACTAGCACCAGCAGCAGAAAAACAAGCAGCAGCAGCAACACCAGAACAAGCAACAGCAGCAGCAGCAGCAGCAGCATAAAACGCAGCTGCAGCAGCTGATATCCCCACCTGAACTAAAGACTCTGTTGTATAAGAGGAGACATCTTCAAATGCAGCGCGCGCAGCCGTCCATACCTTAGCGGAGACACCTACGTTCCCAGCAGCAACAGCAGCAGCAGCAGCAGCAGCCGCTGCTGCTGCTGCTGCTGCTTCGGGTGTCTCCTCACCTTGCACAAGGCGCCGCAAGAGGGGACTCCACGAGCGAAGGACAGCCGCTGTCAGTACAGCCTGATAAAGCTGCGCATGCATCCGCACAAGAAGCAGCAGCAGCAGCAAGTGCAGCAGCGGCAGCAGCTACTGCACCCTATACATCAGCCAACCGCAACAGATACAGCAGCAGCCACATACAGCAGATGCAGCAGCTGCTACTGCGCCTGCTGCAGCAGATGCAGCAGCAGCATGTGGGGAGAGATTTATGCGAACTGTCTACTGGAGACTGTCTCCTTTCTTGCCTGTGGGAGACCACCGGTGACGACGCGCAGAGTTGGCTCAGACAGGTGCTGCTGCTGCTGCTGGTTCTGCTGCTGCTGCTGCTGCTGCTGCTGTTCGCGTAGCAGTTGGCGCTGCTCGATGAGAGGGGTGAAGTCGGTGGAGCTGAGGAGACACTCCGTCAGGGCGAGTCCCTAAGAAGCAAACAACACTCTCGCAACGCTACAGGTAAAGGGGTTGCTGCAGCAGCAGCAGCAGCTACTGCAGCAGCAGCAGCTACTACTACTACACCAGCTCCTACTACTACTACTTCTACTACTACTACTACTACTCTACTACTACTACTACTACAGCAGCAGCAGCAGCAGCAGCAGCGTATGCCCCCAGTAGCAAAAGGGGTTTGTGCGTGCTGCTTGCCTCTAAGGCCAGGATCGCCTCCTCCCTCTGTTCTTCAACTGCTGCTGCAGCAGCAGCAGGGCTCTCCTGCAGTGCAGCAGCAGCACACTGGAGAGCCGCAGCAGCGGTCACCCGCAGACAGCAAGCCAGCTGAAACAAACTGAGCTCCTCCTGCTCCTGTTGCCGCTGCTGCTTCTGCTTCTGCTGCTGCTTCTGCTGCTGCTTCTGCTGCTGCTGCGCTTGCGGTTCATCAACAGCAGCAGAGGCGTTCTGCTGCAGCACGCTGCGGCTGCTGATTTCTCTAAGGATTGCACGATGCAGCTGCCTGCGGATCTGCGGCTGCAGCACCGGCTGCTGCTGCTGCTGCTGCTGTTGCTGCTGCTGATGCTGCTGCTGCTGCTGCTGGCAGGGCAGCAACGCTCCGAGGTCAAAGATGCCGCATATTAGCGCTGATAGTTGTTTGCTGGAGAGCCGCAGCAGCTGTCCGTGAACCTAAAACGCAGCAGCAGCAGCAGCAAAGGGAGACTTAGCAGCAGCGGGAGCAGCAGCACCAACAGCAAGACGTGCAGCAGCAGCAGCAGCAGCGCGAAGTGTGGCAGCAACAAGTGCAGCAGCACTGTCTGCTGCTGCTGAGCAGTAGAGCAGCGCAACGTTGCGGGTGCACGTGAGGATGAAGGCAGCAGAAGCAAACAGAAGACGAAGCACCTGCAGCAGCAGCTGCTGCAGCAGCAGCAAATGAAAAACCCCCGTTGCAGCCATCGCCCACACTATCTGACTGATGCTTTGTGGGGCAAGAGGAAGCGAAGGCATCTGCTGCCGCTGCAGCTGTTGCTGCTGCCGTTGTTGGTGCTGCACTTGTTGCTGCACTTCCTGGTGCTGCTTCTGCTGCTGCTGCTGCTGCTGCACTACAGCATGCAGCCGCCGTTGCAGCTGAGACAGTAGCATAACGCCTTCCCTTCCGAGGCCCTTGTCAGCAGCCCTTAGCCCCCCAAAGGTGGCGGGAGACTTTGCTGCTGCTGCTGCTGCTGCTGCTGCGCGCGCTAAGAGAGCAGCGGAATGTAGCAGAGACAACAACGATCGGCAGCAGCTGATAGCCTGCAGCACACAACCAGCAGCAAACAGCAGCAGCAGCAAACAGCAAACATGCAGCAGCAGCACACGGAACGCATGCAGCAAACCACCAGCAAGAACAAAGGCAAACGCCATAACAGCAGCAGCAGCAGCAACAGCAACAACAGCAACAATAGCAGCAGCACGTACTTCCAGCCGACCGTTTGCTGCTGCCCCACAGCAATCTTTGAGCAGCAATCCACACTGCTGCCGCACGGCCTGCAAGGCTATTGGCGCAGCTGCAGCAGCAACTGCAGCAGCATCAGCAGCAGCAGCAGCGGATGAACCATCAACTGAAGCAGCAAGCGGTGCAGAGCCAGCTGCAGAAGCTGGTGGAGACGTTGCTGCTGTTGCTGCTGCTGTTGCTGCTGCTGTTGCTGCTGCTGTTGCTGCATCAGTAGCGCCCCCGCTGCAGACCTTCTCCACATTCCTTTGATAGTCTTCAGGCCCTGCCACACCCTGTTGCTGCAGTGCTGCTGCTGCTGCTGTTGCTGTTGTTGTTGCTGCTAACACTTGTGCTGCACTGTCTCCTTCGGCAGGGCGGGTCAGTTCATCTGCCCGTACAGCCAATGCATGCAAGGCCATAGCACCGCTGCTCTGCAGCAGCAGTCGTTGCAGCTGCTGCTGTTGCTGCTGCTGCTGCCGCTGCTGTAGCAGCTGCTGCTGCCTGAATGCTGCACACAAAACGAGCCACTCGACAGGCCCCACAACGAAAGAAAAAGCAGCAGCAGTTGCCGTTGCAGGAGCAGCACCAACACCCGCAGGAACAGCAGCAGCAGCAGCAGCAACTTTTGCTGCTGCTGCTGCGCGGCTCCCTGCTAGAAGGCTCCAAATAAGGATGCATCGGTCTAGGGGCCTGGCTTGCTGCAGCTGCCGAGAAACCTGTAGTCCTACCAAAGTCACTGTCTGCTGCAGTTGCTGCTGCTGCTGCTGCGGCGGCGGCTGTCGCTGCTGCTGCTGCATGCATTCTGAGAGTCTCCCCAACAGAAAGCATGCGTTCTGTTGCGGCAGCAGCAAATGCTTGGCTGCAGCGTGAAACAACCGACTCAGCACATCCTGCAGCAGCTGCTGCTGCTTCTGCTGCTGCTTGTAAATACGAGGTGCTGCAGCAGCAGCAGCCCACAGCAGCGCCGCCAGGTCTGTGGGTGGAATGGCTGCGATTTGAGGTGTACAGGCAGCAGCAGCAGCTGCCAGCACCTGCTCCGCTGCAGCAAGAAGTGCTGTGCTGCTGCCGCTCCCAGCAGCAGTAGCAACGGCAGGTGCTTCTGCTGCTGCTGCTGCTGCTGCTGCTGCGGTAGCTTCCAGAGATACCACTAGCCTCCCTGCATCGCGTGCTGCTTCTGCTACGTCCCGCCAGTTCAAAATAGCAGCACTGTGGGGCCCCGAAGGTCGACATGCAGCAGCAGCAGCAGCAGCAGCAGGTGTTGCTGCTGCTTTTGCTGCTGCTGCTTCTGCGTCTATCTGGGCAGCAAAAGACTGCAGCAGCAGCACCAGCAACTTCTGTGTCTCTTCGAGAGATGGAGAGGCATACCACTTGCTGCTCGTCGGAGAAGAGCCAACTGTAGCAGCAAAGGCATCGCTGTTGCTGCTGCACATATTGCTGCTGCATTTGCTGCTGTTGCTGCTGCTGCTGCTGCTGACAGTCAAACGAGCCAAATGCATCACCTCTCGAAAGCAGCTTAGAGCAAAGGGACTCCACCGCAGCGGGCTGGTGCAACCTTGCTGCTGCTGCTGCTGCTGCTGTTTTCGCTGTTGCTGCTGCTGCTGCTGCTGCTGCATCTCATTGAAGGTTTGTAGAGAGCGCACAAGTGCTGCTAGAAGTCTGCAGCTCAAGGGGGCCCCCAGAGCCTCTATTACTGGGGCCCCTTTTGATGGAGGCAGCAGCTGCCCCGTCAGCTGCTGCAGCAGCAACGCTGCTGCTGCTTCCACGGGCGCGAATAGGTAAGCCTGCAGCCCTTGCTGCAGCAGCAAAGCCTCATCTTCAGCTGCTGCTACAGCGGGGACCTCGTTGCAGTCTTTGCTGCTGCTGCTGCTGCTGAGGCTGCTGCTGCTGGGGTTGCTTCCTTGGGCTTCTGCTGCTGCAGCGGCTCTTGCCACTGATGCTGCTGCAGCTCTGAACGGAGGCTGTTGCAGCAGCTGCTGCAGCACATCTCTAAATGTGCTGCTTCTGAGAAACGCAGCAGCAGCTTGCGCCCCTTGGAGAGCGAGTTGCTGTGCATCTGCTGCTGGGGCCCCTAGACCTGCTGCTGCAGCAGAGCGTGTGCCTGCAGCAGCAGCAGCTGCTGCTGCAGCATCCGCCAAATGAAGCTGTAGCAAGTGCGGGAAGCAGCAGCCTTGAGTGACGGCAGAAGCTCCTGCTGATCCCGCTGCTGCAGCAGCAGCTGGCGCTGCTGCTGCTGCTGCTGCTGCTGCTGTTATGCTGTGAGCAGAGCGTAGGAGCTGCAGCACAGCAGGAAGTAGCAGCGAGAAGGCCCGCAGCAGCTCCACGCGCTGCCGCAGCAGAGACCTGAGACCTTGCTGAGGTGTACGTACACCCCAACTGCAGCCAGAAGAAATAGAAGGGCCCCCGATAAAATGTAAAAATGCAGCAGGCAGCAGCAGCCCCGCAATGAAGGGTAGCTGCGTTTCGTTGCATGCGCTGGAAGGTCTAGCTGGCCGCCGCTGCTGCTGCTGCTGCTCCTGCTCCTGCTGCTGCTGCTGCAGCGCAGCAAACCGCAGCAAAGTCA